TCTTCCAGCAGCAGTAATTTTGCACAGAACAACACATGGCTATGCCAAACACCAGCCCTTCCATGGTTCATGTAGGTTTGACATGGTCATGTGGCTCATGGATCATGACATTTCAGTTGTAAGCATAGCTGGTGAAACATGGTTGATTTGTAGCCTGAAGGCACTGGGTATTAGTACTATAACAGGCATGTTTGGTCTGATAGGGAGGACAGGTGGCAAATGGCCACAGAGGGTCAGGGCAGCCCAAGGTAGACAAGCTCTACCATTGCCATTCTCAAGTCTGTATAACACCCATATACTGAGCTGGATGCTGAAGTGATATTGACATGCTGAACTTGTCCCCCATATGATCTGGAGTTCATTAAAGCTCAAGTTAGCTTATTTTTGAAGAATTTTACTAGTAATTGACATTAAAATGTTATGATAACTTCAAAAATGGCTCTCAATGAACCTCAATTGATGAAGATCATACATCATGCACCAGGCATCCTGATAGCCATGTATGTCCACTGAAATTGTTTCTGCTATGCACCCTCTATGCCAAGCATGCTTGATGTTGCATGCCTTTTTCAAGTCCAGTAGCATTTCAACATATGTTACAGATATTTAATGTATATATGTATATGTCATGCTACAGTAAATTGATACCTGTGAGCCTTCCTGTGCTTGAGGCACAGCCTATCTGTCAGCATTCCTCCACTTCCTCCCAATCCACCCACTGTACTTGATGCATAAGCCCCATCAGTGTGCTGAGTGTCATGCTGGTTAAAACGTCTACTTGGAGAGTGCCCAAAGCACTGTTCTACATGCACTGAAATTTTTACTACAACATCCACTTTACACATCCTGGCTTGCAGGTAGAGGCATGTTGCAAAATTGTTTAATGCACCGGACCAGTACAACTTAGTGGTGGATTAATAGCCAACACAGCATGCTTTGCGCAAGTTATCTACACACAAAAGCCATCCATCTAAACCATCCCACAAAAAATCCTTACTGTGCGGGACAATCCACGGCACTAAAGATGTATCAACCTCTCGTAAGGACCTACGTCCTATGAACTCCGGGCTGATCTCTCGCAGAGACCAATAATTAATGATAGCCGGAATAATCCCCCACATCAACTCAAACTCTCACGCTCGAAAATAGCATAACAGGCCGGCTCAAATGGCATATATGGCGCATCCGTGCACAGCCGTTGCGCGGAGAATAGAAACGGTAAGGTAGTATGTGACGTCACTGAAAACCATGCCATGTTTTGAAAGGCATGCATTGCTTTTGCTGTTCAATAAATCTTCATATACGATAATATTTTGCCTCCTCTAGTCGTATATAGGATCACTTTCCCATACGTCAGCCTCCATAGCCATAAGAAAGGGTGGTGGGGTTCGTGGGCACCGCGGCAGTACCACGGGGTATTCCGGACAAATATCTCACTGAAGTGCATTTGCCCTATTGCCTTTCAACCGAATTCATCTACACGGATGTTTTTCATCGACAGGTCTTTTTGACGCCTTTTAGTGAAGGTATATGCTAAAAGCAGCGTGGCAATTTGTAAGCGCGCCTTTTTCGACGTGTTTAACTTACAAAATGTCATGAAGTCAAAATTAATATTCCTGGATTACTAATCTGCCAATCTATTTAATTTGAATGCCTATTTGCCGACGTACTTTTTGGTCGAGTGTTTATTGCCAAGCTGTTGTAAATTCTAATGGCAATTTGCTGAAATGCTCTTCATTGAAATGTCAATGAGCCGATTTTTCCACTTGAATGCCATTTTGACTGAATGTTCTAGTGGAAGGTTGGTTGACCGCAATGCTTTTTAATCAAATGCCATTAAGATGACAGTATTTTTAGTTAAACACTTACTGCTGAAAAGTGGAGCGCAGCTCAGAACACTGTGAACCGCCAATACGATCGTTTAACACTATGGCGTTGTTTAGCCAGTACTTTCTGGTATGTCGAAGGCCGTTAGCTCGGTGTAAGAACTTTGAACTTACAGTGCGTACAGTTGTCCACTTAGTTGCAATATATGTGTTTTTCACTCTATCGCCCTACTGAGAGAAGCCTCAGTGGCCCGAAGATATATCAAAAACTTGGCAAGCTAGGTCCACGTGAAAAAAACGGCAATGAAAAGCTCTTGTCAAGCTACAACAGATTAGTCTGAGGGAGCGATGGTGAATGTGATATTTGACAGCTTGAATCAGGACCATACTCATAACCCTTAACTACCTCCTGTCAGATGGGCTTTAGTCGCCATGGTCAGAGGTGACCTGCTGTGTGCCAAGTCACATAAAAGGAGGAAGGCTAGTGTTCCACTCGCCTGTTTACCTATATCAAGTACTAAGCAAGCCAAACCAGCGCGAGTTACTCCATGATCTTAGCCATATTGGTCACGCCCAACCAACATCTTGCTATTAATGTGTAACGTAATTCATGGACCGCCCATTGCGGTCTGTGGTGATATCACCAAAGAAGATTTGCAATCGCTCGAGCTACATTATGGCAAAAGGGACCATTGTTCGGCAAGGTGGCTATTCGACGAATTTGTGCCCATCTCATTGGCATTCGTCAAATTGCATTTTGACCATTGGCTTTCAGGAACTCAAACATTTGGTGTTTTCTCATTCGTCAAATTGCTGTTCGTACAGTTTATAGTTCGACTAAAACATTTCGCTTCTTTTGCCATTCGATGCTTATCTATTCGTCTAAATGCCGTTTCCGCATACTGACATCCCGTTAATTAACACTTGGGAAAACTAATCAAGTCTTGACGGATTAGCCTTTCTACCAACCTGCATTTAGACACTTTGCACTTCTTAAAAAGCAAATGTTGTCAAAAGCGTTTCGCCTTTTAGACGTTCGTCGTTTTAACATGGTACGAACAGGATGTAATGGGCAGGGGGTCAGTGCCTTCGGCTGCTCCATTTGTGGCCTAAGTCCGAACCTCGGTTGCGTCATGACCCCAGCGCGCTATTATGGCCTCTGCGGTCGCTTACGCCGCGTAAAGGCGCGCAAAACGACGTGCGTCGCGTTACTTGAAAACAAAACTACGGCGAAATGGCGTAACAGCAAAAAGCAATCGGTTTGTTTACATTCGGTGGAATAACGTTCGGCTGAACATCTTTCGGTAATTTGCACCGGCACTTCTTTTTCTAGGACTTTAACACGAGCTTGGGTGGGGTCAAATTGCTCCCGGAAGTTTTTCCCGAATAGTTTCCGAACGGCGCGGCGTAGCCATGCCACATTTTGCATAGCTGTAGACAACTGAATAACGGATTGCTTGGTGCCAAAAAATTTAGATGTGCCTTGTAAGGTTGATGACCTGCGACAGGTCAAAGTCAGGCCATGGATTCCGCGAAGTGAATTTCTAGGATATCGTTCAATCTGATGCAACAGCGGAGTGTTAGACGTAGCCATACGGCTCTGAGGTGCTTTCTTAGCCATTACAACAATTGAATGAACAAATTAAATTAATCTAAGGCTAGTTTTGAAGGTCAGACCAGGGTCAAAACCACTCTGACTTAGCTTCCAGGGCTCGCAGTATGGGGTGGTTTCTGGCGCTCATTTCGAATTTATTGATGACAGGAGACACATTATGCATTTTCCATAGACTTCTCCAAGGTCAAAATAGGTGACTGACCTAAGAAAGCCCAGGTCGACATTTTGAATTTAGGAGCATACTTCTTAGCGTAACCTTTGACGCTTATTCAAATTCAAAACTCAAAGCAGTCATGTATGCTTTCGGTCACCATGACCTTCAAAAGGTTGAACAAAGTCACTGATCTGAAAGGAGCATGCAACCTTTGCTTAGAACAGATATCTAGGTTTTGGGGCACTTTAGAACCCAACCCGAAAATTGGTCTGGCTTGACCTCATTTGACGCAAAGGTTATGATCTAGAAGCCCCAAACTTTGATTTAAGTGAGTTCAGGTACAGGCCAATACACCCTGCAAATCGGGTGTCTCTAGCTCTGTTAGTGCTTGCGATCTCAGGGGGGCCAAATTGACCCCCACCCCACCCGAGCGAAGGGTATCCAACCGACCACCTGAGCGCGTGTTAAGGAGCGGTGTTGCCTAGCGGCACAGCTAAGGCTCCCCATTCCCTTCAGACCCAGATTTGTCTCACTTTTCCACCATGGATGGCTTCTGGTGCCCCCAAATTATATTTTCAGCTTCAACAACGGGTCTCATGACGCTGCATGGGGTGAAGCCATGAGATTAAGCCTACGCCGTCCGTCCCAATATCCGAAAATTGCGGGATGTTTCATCACCGCATACTAGCCGCGTGGGCCAAGAGTTATCCGCCATTTGATAGGCATGCATGCATACATGGGAACACATGCTCACTTGCTCGCACTTCCTCGGTCGAACCTACACGCCATCGGCCGCCTGGACGCCTCGGCTGGTCTAAGCTGACCGGTGAGATCGTGGCGACGCCTATCGGCGACACGCTGCGGCTCGCGCACGGTTGGCCGGCGTCGCGTGCATCACGCGGCGACCGCGCATGGTCGGGCCGACCTTGGATGAACCCCGATTTGTGCCGCATGGCGCGTCTGACCGTCACCATCTTGACCCGCGCACGGGCAACTTCCGGCGGAGCGGACGGCAGCTGTTCGGGCCTCAGAAATAACTTACTTAACTTTACCGCTGACATAAGCTTGGAATTGTCATGTGCGGTACATGCGCGTAATGTGGGTATGGTGCGAATATTCAGCTCGATATGTCACTCGTATCTCGGAGCGAATCTGAATGAGAACGGAAGGGCACTTAAAGGCAAACACAGCAGCCCCCGGCTTGTCCGTATTGGAGACGTGATCCCACCGTTGTGCACTTGGCATGGAGGTACGATTGAGGAACCACGATCGGCGACTGTTACTGGGCACTCGTGGAACGGAGTAAAAGCAGCTTATACCACTGAGACTCAGAAATGGCTGCTGCATTTGTCGAGCGCAGATCAATTGAAGTGTGATTACGCTGGCCAACCAAGCATCTCAACCAATGCATCTCGGTCGTCTTACTGAGGTTCATTCAGGGCAGCTATTTGCGTATTTCATCTGTATTATTTCGGATGACGAATGCTGCAAATGCACACCATTTCCACCCCTTCGCTACATAAACGTTCTGAGGAAGATGGAGCGGTGCGTACAGTGATAAGACACTACTTTCATAATAGAACTGATCTAGACTTAAGCTACATAAACATACAAACAACACTCAAGATCACGTTACAGATGTCACAGGTTTCGTAAGTGGCGTCACATAGCTGTACAGCATGTATCAAAACAGCTGAACTGATCCGCACTGCCCAGTGAAGGCGGCTTACGCGGTCCTAAAACAAAACTCGCCGCATTCGCCGTCGACGCAAAAAGCAACGACACAACAAGAAAGGAGCGAAGGTTCGGCCGCACCGTCACGGCTCACACGCGCTCGCGGCCATAGGTATGACGTATTTACAATGATTCAGCTCCTCCGAGCGCTCCTTGGGGCCGCGCCCACGTGGGGCGCTCCAGGAGCGCTGCCGGAAGACTTCGTCGCCCGTCTATCTGCCAGAGGGGCTGGGTGTAGGGCGCACGCTCTGGCTTCACCATCCTGCTGACGTGCCTCGAGCCCCGGACCAGCTGGCGACGGCACAGCACGGAAGTCAGCAGCACGCTTCTCACACCGGTCACGCCAGCCCACGCGAATGCCGCGTCTTACCGACGCAACGACAGCAGACGCGTTTGCGGTACTCAGGCCAGTTACAGCGCAATGGACTCCGACACTCATTCCGATTCCGCCTGTGAACGGCGCTGAGAAAAATGAAAATTATAGTTCCAGACCACGTGACACGCATATGAGTCTGCTTTTAGTTCAGTCCATCCGCTGATTCCCACGCAACCGTTGTACGTCGGTGACGTCGAGGTTAAACCTGTCATGGTGATCCGCGACGAGTAGTATCTAGCCAATGTTACGAGCCTTCCCATCTCACATAAAGTTACTTACGTCACGAGTCTGCGCAACTCAGTTCGTCTCCGCCATCCAAGCAGTCCGGCTTTCCATCGCAAATCTGAAACACGTCCGGATTTTATTGCCTGTGCAAGAGGCGCATATTATACAATCATTGTTAAAACTGCATGCCTAATGCCAAATTGCCGGCATGAACGGAGAAATGGCACATTTTCGACAGGGCAGAAGTGGTTCTTCAATTTTCCGAAATTCCTATGGTCGCATATTACAATTTCACCTCAGTACGCAGCTTTGACTACGACACTTGCAGAGCTGATTTATGCACGACTCGGATGAGAAGGTAGTGTCCTAAGGCGTAGTTTGTTAAAAGTGCTGGAAATGAGGAGCCTAAACATATAAATATTTTAATATAATTGGAGAACCATATGCCTAAAAATTGGAGTCTTTCATGCCCTCTTGCGTGGATTGTTTCAGTGACGACGGCGCGGGCTTGCCCGGCGAATCCCATCGCTCCAAACGGCTCACGACCCAAACTAAGTAGACTGTCCCCAGCTATCTCACTGACGAAAACATCTTACGAATCGAGATGTCTGAAGCACCAATGTCTTGCTTTGCTAAAGGTTACGAGATTTTCGTTCTTCCAAGCCCAGCCTCCATAAGGAGGAACTGAGAGAGGTTTCTCAATTAACTCGAGTGTCCCACTAATTCGGTGTCTTACCCTCTGGGGTGCACCACTACTAGAACTGTCCTCTGCTCGGGTCATCCCACTGATAAAGTTTCTCGCTAGCTCAGGGTGCGTCACTGTTCTCACTCACTGCCCAGAGGCCATCACCGCCTCGGAGGGCCTCACTGTCGGCAGCGTCCTGGACTGACCTGCTCCGACTGGATGCACTGTCCGGTTCGGCACTGGAACTGTCCTCGCTCGCAGTTGAACGGGGGACAGAACTCGGGCTCGTCCGAGCCGTCCCCGCAGTCGTCCTGCAGCGGCAAGGTCAGGTCACGTGGAATAGGGTGACGGGGACATTTCAAACTCATGCCAAGACATCGGTGTCTTGGTTGATAATGGGAGGGTATTATTAAATGTTCTTCGACGTATCGAATTGAAGTGTAATATATCGTATTGTTGCAGCGCTGGGAAAACAAAACTTCGCACCTGTGTCGTTTTTGCGTTATTTCGCTGCCTGAAATTAATGACTAATACATTGAGTTCTTCACACCTCAACTGCGGTCTGCAAGAAGTAGGCCAAGTAGACTCCTGCACACGAGGATCGCTATCCTTTCCATGTACCCTCGTACGTTCCAACTGACTGACAGCGCTTCTTCCGCGCCCCGTCCAGCGTGCCAATAACGGTCCCGCCCGCTATAGGGGGCGCCACCGCCGCCGCTCGGTGCGCCTTCGACGCACCTCGCCGTTACAGACGAGCCAGTGCGGCAGGCACTTGAAGGTCTGCTTGCAGATGAACTGGTCGCGGGTGCAGTTGGTGGTGCAGGTGGCGCCGTCGTCCTCGGTGACGAAGTGGTCGGGGCAGGCGCAGGCGCGGCCCCCATCAGGCGTCAGCAGACAGAGTGTGGCGCAGCCGCCGCCAGATTCGCCACACGGGTTCGGCCGCGTCACTGCCGACAGCGGGCGGCTCATCAGACACTGCACTGCACTGCACTACACGGACACTGCATACACTGCACTGCGGGCACTCCGCTGGGAGGGTGGAACATCGCAGGGATATGGAAAGACGAGCTGTTACCGTGAAAGGCTTTTAAAGCAATCGAATGGCTGTGTTGTAGGGAAATGAGCGAATAAATATTCCGCCAGATGCGCCGACAAACTGTTTTGCAGCGGCAGAACAAATTCGATTAAGCTCTCGATTATAATCATTCCGCGTGCTTTACCTGTGCCTGTACAGGTTGATGCAATGACTACACGGCACAATCATACTGAAGGTTGAGCCACGACAGCAGCATTGAATAAAGCGCAGTCGAGTAGAATACAAAACTATAATATATTGTGTTATTCGGCTGTGGTTGGGACTAGATGGGTTCCACGATACACTAGAATAGAATGAGTTCAGAGTTCTTATGCTGAGTTATCGACCTTGCACATTCCGTGTATTATGCCAGGGGGTACTGGTTAAACGACGCTTCAGAACAAACCTTGACTGCTGGCAATGTAACCAGTCTGTGCTTTATAGCGTCGTTCAACCAATGTCTCCTGGTATATTGCAGGCTAATAACTCAGCATAAGAGCTCTGAACTCATATAACGCCAAAAAAGGAACTGAAGACGTTTCTTGCATATATAAAGCACCAAAGCAATGCTATGAAAGCCGTGTGGCCGGTATGCGATGGATTTAGCGAGCGATTCGAAAATAACGTTGATAAAGTAAATTTTTAGACGGTTGGATGGCAGGGATAAAAATCAATAAGGATATTCGGCGTGTCTATGTGATTAGGCCATATCAATCCAGACAGACGTTGGTGTCAATCCTTAGTCACTATCTCGTCTCAGAGTTTGCTGATGTCTGATGTAAAAACCCGAAGCATCAAAGTTTCCTCTTATTTGGCACAACAATCTAGGTTCCGGATATTGCAAGACGTAAAAATAACAACTGGTGTCTGGTTAAGTCGCAGAAGAAGCCTGCATTCCAGCGCCAATGTGTCGCGTCGTCTGTCATTACATCTGATAGCGGAATTATCTCTTAAGAAACGCTGGGTGGTGTAACGGTTACACCGGCTGCGCCTTCAGCTTATGGCATTCCCTCTCTCCACGTCAGCTTTCAATGCACCCTGTTTGCCAAATATGTTTTTTGAGAAGCTTTTAATGACGAAATGAAATAAATATAAGCGTAAGCAGTTATCAACGCAACAAGCAACAACTCAAGGAAATCGCAGATGTGTAGGGTTCAGGATGTCACGTAGGTGCCTTTTTAGCTTGGTTGCTCGAAACGATGCGGGACCGAACAATTATGTCTTTCTATATTTCATGGGTGAACCAGATGGATCAGATTAAACCAATGGCGTGTGGAAGTACAGCTTAGTCGGATGGATGTCTGCGCAGTTAGATTTCCGGGACGTGGTGAAACCGGATCGGTAAGGCTCCTAGAGCGACGTCAGAGCGGTTTCACCCATGTCCACAGATCGCTCAGCAGCATCGCACGGCGTGCCAATCGCGGTAAATCGCCGTCCGCGCATCATAGACTCACAGCCAACAGACTAGCATGTGCGAATGTAGACTCCCAGCCAATCGACTGGCACGTGCGAAGGTAGACTCGCAGCAATCGACTGGCATGTGCGAAGGTAGACTCACAGCCAATCGACTGGCACGTGCGAAGGTAGACTCACAGCCAACAGACTGGCACGTGCGAAGGTAGACTCACAGCCAACAGACTGGCACGTGCGAAGGGTGCTTAGCCCGGGTTCGGGCTTCGGCATGAAAAAAAATCGTTCAATACAAGCATAGAGGAATCACAATGTACTTCCAGCTTAACAAAGCAGAAATACATGTGAAAGGTCGCAGACTGTCACGTTCGGCAGCTGCCATCTGCTGGCTTTTGGACTAGCTTTATGACTGACTTTTGGACTGGCTTTAGGACTGACTCCTGGATTGGCTTTTACGTGGCGAAATGATACCGTCGAGCAGAGCTCATTGGTATCGATCGGCGTTTGGCAGAACACCTTGAGACACCCGCTGCTTACGCGGTTTCTGCTGCGAAGAATGGAAGACGCGGACGCCCATGGGCAGACTGCTGGAGTTGCGGAGTGTGATGGCGTGCGTGCCGTTGTATTTGATGATGCTGTTGGTCTCCCAGCTGGACCAGAACAGCTCCTTCTGGTAGATGGCCAGCGAGAAGATGTGCAGCAGCGGGCGGATCGTAAGGCCTAGAACAAAAGCGGAGACGTCGAGAGAATGGCGAACATGGCACGTCGGAGCAAAGATCTCACACAACGGAGAAAACCCGGGTCACCAAGCACGACGAACTTCCGTCTGTACCCTCAGGACTCCTGGCCAACCTCGCTCGTCCTCACCCTCAGAACTCCTGACCAGCACCGCCCGTCCTCACCCTCATGACTCCTGACCGACGCCGCCCGCCTCGGGACTCCTGACCAACTTCGCCCGTCTTCACCCTCGGTACTCCTGACCAGCACCGCCCGTCCTCACCCTCGGAACTCCTGACCAGCACCGCCCGTCCTCACCCTCGGAACTCCTGACCAGCACCGCCCGTCCTCACCCTCGGAACTCCTGACCGGCGCCGCCCGTCCTCATACGCAGTCCTAAGCAGCTCTCTCGCCCCCCACACTGGGCATTTCTGCCAGCAATGCCAGTTCTGACCGGCGACGCTCCTGAACAACACTGGCGTGCCCCCACCCCCTCCCCTTCCCGATCCCCTGAGAGGCTCCTCGTCCTCACACCCGGTGTTTCTGAGCAGGCCTGCCAGCGCTCACCTTCGGGACTCCTCAGCAGCACGCGTCGGTTGCGACCCTGCATGTCGGCCACCTCGATGTGGCCCAGCTGAGCATCGGCCCAGAACAGCTGCTGCGTCTCGCGGCTGATGGTGAGTGCGTTCGGCCACACCAGATTGCCCGTGATGAGGGGCGCCGGCCGCGAGCCGTCCATGCCCGCCGACCCGATGAACGCCGGCTCCGCCCAGTCCGTGTAGTAGAGCAGCCTGGCGGGCACACCGGAGCGTGAGGGGAGGCGCAGGCGCCGCTGCGGACCGGTGTGCGCTGCAGGGACAGCGCCGGTGGATACAGACACAGATGCATGGGGGTCGGGTGCTCCATGGGTAATGGATGCTCGGGAGTTTACGCCACTGTACGAGTCGCAACAGATAAAAGCATCGACGATAAAGACGGTGATAAGGGCGGTTTCCTAATCATCTTGATGACAGGTGTGAGGCAAGGTTGGCCATGGACGTAATGGCGCTGGTCGGCAGGCGCACATTTGAGGGCAGTATGCTCCATTTGTGAGACGCGCAGAGCAAGAGTGATCACCGCGCGGATTCAGAGCTAGCTCGCACCAGGTGCGGCTGGCCGGCTTCTGCTGACCGGGCATCACACTTGGCCAGAGCGGAGTGACTTCTGCTCGTGCACATGGGTAGTGGATAGTATAGACCAGGTCATGAAACATGATTTAGTGAGCGTGTTGTTAACTACGTGCCATCCCATTTGTAATAGCACAGCTGACACACAATCATGGTGCTTCAGATCATTTACAACACGGGCGTCAAGGTTAAGAATCTTCTGCACCATGTGTTTGTGCGCATCGGTGCGGTTACTCCAGCACGTCCATTTAGCAAGGTAAATGGAAAACACTGGTACTCCAGTCACTAGCCGTGTTATCTCCTTCAGCTAACGGCGTCACATCATAGCCAGCCAGGTAAGTGCTGCATGGTAACGAGCGAAATACGATCGAAACTATGCTTGTTCAACTCTGGAGCGACGTTCAGGCGAGTCGATGGTGACAGCCCAGGATCCGCGCGCGTTGAGAATACTGAATGACATTAGCGCCAAAGGTAACCGAATATTACGGGTCAGAGTTTAGGCCAATGAAAGTTAATGAAGACCATCTCATTTTGGAGTGATTAAGCTTTAATTCACTTCTCGGAGATCCCGCTGGATGATGTATGGTGTTCTTGAAGGCTTTGCTGTTGCTTGTTGGCCGGTATGCCAAATACGGTGGTGGGTAGGCCTGATAAGAGGAGGGGAATTAGCAGATGTTTCGTCTGCAATCCCTCTTCAGTGCTAACCGCAGCGCTGACAACGCTGAAGAGGCCCTGTGTCTGAAATCAGCTCATATCTGCGAAATCTGTTGATCCCTCTGTGCCTATTAAAGCTACCCACTACCATGTGCGGTTTACAGATTAACAACCATCATGATTATTTTTAAGACTGTTCTGTATGAGCATCGTTGCAGTCGTCATTGGGGTTTTACGACGCACTTAGCCGATGGGGCTACATGGCGTCGCTTGCTTCCCACCCAGGCAGGACATGAACTACCGACAAACTTTTGTTCACCGACAACCTTTAAGTCCTAGCATGTTAGAAGGCGGGATGGGGTCAAAAAATGTCGTGCCATCGGCGTATGTGAAAGTACGGCACGTATTGCATCAGATCGTTTGTGAAAAATGAAAAGCAGGATTAGGCCCAAAACAGAATCCTGGACCACTCAGACTGCACCGGAATGACACGATATTGGCTGGGCACCTAAGTGCGGTGGAGACAGACACGGTCTCACACGGTCGTCTGGGCAGCAGCTCAGACGAGACCTGCTGTAGATGCGGACGGACCAAAACAAGCGGGTGCCTCTGTATTGCAGTACTGGCACCTGGAGCGGATCAACGCTTGGTGCGGGCGTGGAGGCGTAACAGGCGTTTTACATCACTGCTACACTGCACATGGACGTGGGAGGAGCAGTGAAAAACGACCTACAGCGGTCACAGTGCGCCAGTGAAAGCTGAACAGGACGGCGCAGCCGCGTGCCTGGACTGCTGACGACAGGACAGCGGACAGGAGCGTGTACAGTCTCTGTCAGGACGGTGGCGATGAACAGGAAAGACGTGGGACAATGGACGTTTTGGCGCAAGGTCTGAAGGCGAACTATGAACAACAATGGAGGGCCGGAAACGGACAGGGATCAGACCATGGCAGGACACCGCCAGAGAGCTCCTGGAAAGTCGGATCCCTGACCGAACCATACCGGAGCAAGTGCTAGCTGCTGCGGTGCTGGATGACGATGCGGGAGCATGGATGGAGTGGACGCAACAGCAGAGCAGTACGGGGTGGATGGGGCAGTGCGCAGTGACTGCAGTACGTAGTGTACTGTAGCATTTGACCGAGCAGGCAAAACGCAGCAGTACTAATGACACTCTCATAGCTGTGCTTACATGGAGACTGGACATAACAGAAGCTGTACAGAATATGCCCTACCTACTGGGAAGTTAATAAACGTATTAGATAGAGCGTTTCCACTCGAGGTTCACAGCTAAATTGCAGCAGTTTATTGTTCAGTTTTACGAACGCACTTCGCGGAGAGCAAATCACCAGGTGTTGCGTTGGACCGCTAGCGTTAACCTCATCTGATTGGAACCTACACAGCTACTAAGGAGTGACCTGACGCCGGTATACGACAGCCTTTTCCGGCATGCCAGCAAGTTGGTGTCAAGGTCAACACGCGCCGTTCGCATACTGCGGGGCGAAATAAAGGTGCCGAGTGGTTTTTGGTCGAGCAAGAATGGCGTTTAGTGGTGTTATAGCGTAGATGGAACGAGGTGGTCATTTAAGTATGTTTAATTGCCGTCAGACATCTGCAAGCACTTGTGCAAAGACATCACTCAACATATTGTTAACGGTTACGTACAACGGATCGGTTCTGTCGGATTGGAAAGTCGAGATCCTTTCGAGAGAACAACACTTACATCACGCAGTGCACGCAACAATAATGCATGCGGCCAGCTTTGTAAGATTCCCGTCGGTTGGATTACGTCTGGTGCAATACCAACGGGCGTCTCTTACGAGAAGTATACCAGTTCACAGAGCGGAAAACCCGGGATGGCAAACACGATTATCCAGCCCCACGCAAGCCTTCCACGGTGCAGCGTTATGGTGCGATGAAGCATGAAGTCGGCTGTCCGAGGCCGCGGGCCGAGATATCATGGTCTGAACCGGTCCCGTCCGATCGGTGGACGCCCCCTCCATACAGGGGCGTGAGTGGCGGAGCTGGCCGCCGGTTCGGCCCACGCCGCTGGCCGGCGCGCCAGGTGACCTCCGGTGGCCGGGGTGTGGGAGACGGCGGCGCCAGGGCTGGGCCGAGGGGTTACGGCCGCGGCACCGGACCAGCCGCCCGACACAAGGCCGCCTGGTACTGCCCCCGCCGACGCTGGTGCCGGCCCGCGCAAACGACGGCAACGGGCTTCGGCACGGGTCACACCGGGGAAGGGCTCTGGCACGGGTCACACCGAGGAGGTGCTCCGGCACGGGCCACACCGGGGACGGGCTCCGGCACGGGTCACACCGGGGATGGGCTCCGGCACGGATCACACCGGGGATGGGCTCCGGCACGGGTCACACCGGGGACGGGCTCCGACACGGGTCACACCGGGGAGGGGCTCCGGCACGGGTCGCACCGGGGAGGGGCTCCGGCACGGGTCACACCGGGGACGGGCTCCGGCACGGGTCGCACCGGGGATGGGGTCCGAGAAGGCTCTTAGCGATGACCACACTGAGATCAGACTTGTAGGATGCACTGGGGACCGAGTTCAGAGACATGCTATGTTTGAATTCCATGTTCGGCCTCAACAGAGCGTGGGGGCTGGTTGACTTTGGTTGCACATCTTAGGGATAGTTAAGTTGATTTCTTTGCCGGATTTCTGATCCCAATCAGTCATGCACGGGCTGAAGAGGAATGCAATATCGCCAGATAAGATAGGTCGTAGTCAGATAGGCACCAGTTGTTAAGTTTGGGTTTCAGCTGATCATGACCGATAATTATGGAAAAAGTGGGCGACCGTTGCGACACAGCTGTTTTACTTGCAAGGCAGGGAAAAAGTGGCTTGTGACTGAACTGGATCGCCGTGAAAAACAGACCAGTAGCTGGATCTTCTGGCTCCCACCAGCACTTTACGTCATTGCCCTGTTTTCTGAACCAAGAGCTCTGTGATGGTTTTTGTCTGTCGTTTTAACCTACCATAAATAGTTGAACACTGCCCAGACCTCAGGCAAGATCACCCTACAATAGCCAAAAGGAGTGATAACACGATTGAAGTTGTCTGCACCTCTCACAGAAGCACTGTCCGTTAGTCAATCACAGCATCAAATTGTGTCCGTTCAGGCACGATCCACGCGAGTGAAGCCGACCGGCCGGCCACTGTTCTGATGTTCGGCTCTGCACCTGGGGTCCCGTGCGCTTCGCCCAAGTCTGGGCCTGGTGTTCAGCCGCTGCACGCAGCTTCATGCCGGGCATCGCCGCCACCGTGCGCTGCTCTGCCTCAAGAGCTGTCGCTGCCGTCGCAGCTCCGGCTGGCGAGCCGACACTCACCCGGCCTCGGGGTCGACGCAGATGGCGCGCGGCTTGCGCAGGCCCTCGGTGATGAGCGTCTTCTTGAAGCGGCCGTCTCGCTCCGAGACGAGAATGGAGGACGAGCCGCCGTCCGTCCAGTACAGGTTGCCCGTCACCCAGTCCACGGCCAGGTTATCCGGCCGGTCAGCGCCCGAGTGCAGCGACTGCGAGGTCAGAGGTCGGGTCGCCGGTTAAGTGACGGATTAGGCCGGAGTCGACGGCTATTCAACGAGGCCGAATGTCGGATTAGGTAGCGATTATGTCGCTGGTCAGGTCTGGGGGCGGTCAAAAGTAGAATGACTCGTTCTATGACTTACAGGGTAATCGTTATGACACAATCAATCAAGTCATGTACAGGATCAAACTTATGCTTGTTGCCTAATTACTTAGCAGGAGAAGAAGCTAGATTAAAGCATTCGTTCATGAGGTCATGAGCAAATTGGCGGATAACACCGGTGCCCTGACTTCGTAGCACGTATCAAGCAACACGGCAGTGGAGCAGACTGTATACCCAGCCCACCCAACCATTGATGAGACTCAACTTTAAAATGTTTTCCCATGAAAAATCGAGTAGCACACGTATGAGCAAAAATTACCATCCGGCGTGGATGGCATCGAACGTGGCTTCCCGGGACGGCGTTTTGATGCCTAACCCCAGGGATGAGTACATATTTTCCTCACCACTAAAAAGACGGTGCCTAAACAAGAGCCGGAATCGTGCCATCAACACATCGCGGAAAACAAGTTGCGAGACAAAGGTTCGACGACTGCATTTCCATGCGGCGCAGGTATACAACACCTCGGTTAGGAATTTTGTGTCTGCAGCATATGGTTTAATGACTTTGCAACATTAGCCGAGATGCGAAAATAACATGCCTGTAAACAACGGGCAGGGTAATACTGTTCCATCAAGCCGTGTTATGAAGGTGAACCGTGCAGCCGCATCTACGGTAGACATGATAAAAGGTCTGGAGCGTAATGAAGAGCTCACTAACGGAGCATACGGGAAGCCCCGAGGTAGTAACGAGGCCTCTTTATTCCGCGCCGCCGACCATCCAAATGACAAGACAGGCGCTCACTTCCGCGCCCGTCGACTGTGGACACGCCCGCCCGGCCCCTGACAGCTCCGCGTGTCACGCTTCGGAAGAGTGCGCACGGGTCGGAGAGACGCCGGCCCTGATCAGCGCCGGAGACGCGCCACTCTCCCCTGATTTAGAGGGGAGAGCGGCCGGCATCTCCGCCGTACTCCGCTGTTGAAGGCGCAGTGGAGCGCGCCGGCTGATGCCGATTCCGCTGTTGGAGGCGCAGTGGAGCGCGCCGGCTGATGCCGATTCCGCTCTTCCCACGCCGATCGCCGGCCGCTGTCACGCTCCGCGAACCCGATAAATCCGATGTCTCTGCCGAATCAGCCGTATAGTCGGCCGAGCGCACTTTACCGGGGATGGGCAGCCAGTCGGGTCTTGCAACACCGCTATTTAGCAGCTGCGTGTGCTGTGGCGATGAGCCGCTCGGCTGCCTGCGTGTGGAGTTGGATGCATGCTGCATGTACAACCAGCAGTCAAAACGCTGTAAAATGATTTTGCAATGCTTCCAATAAGGAGAATATAGCGCCTACATGAAACAAAAAATGATGTGGACGACCTTTGTAAGCTTTATAAGCGATGCAACAATGACTGTTCGATAATCATCTTCCTGACGCGGTCCTCGCGGCTTGGCACGAACAACGCGCGCTCTGATTCCTTCCCTTGATTCCTTCCCAGTGACATGACGCGTCACGCACTACAGAGGAGGCCGCGGCCCGGCCGCCCGCTCCTGTGGCGGCACCGCAGCACGGTAGGGTGTCGGGGTGGCGGACTCGCGTGCCGTCGCGCAGACGATGGGCCGGCCGGCGGGCCGTCAGCGTAAAAACGGCGCGGCAGGCGACGGCGCCGGCCGGCGCCGCGTTGACTCCAGCCGGTCCCGCGCCGCCTGGCCCCGGCCCCACGGCCTCCGACACAGGCCGCGGCCCCGTGCTGCCTGACAGTGACCCTGTGTCGCCTGACACCAACCACGTGTCGACTGACAGCGTCCGAGTGCTGCCTGACAGCGGCCGGTCAAGCCGAGGTCAGACGCCATCGTCGCGAGGAAACGCGTCGGTCCGTTCGCGTGGAGCGACGACCGCCGTTGTTTGTGACGCCTCGCGCGTCCGTGACACCTCAGATCTACATATGTGCCAGCATGTGAGATGCTGCTGACAATCAATAAGTGGCGCTGGTGGGCTAGTCGCCGCAGATTACCTTTCGTGTGTGGAGCGCTTGCGTCGTGCAACAGCTGCGTTGCATCGACGATGTGACGTCACAGTGACGTCACTGCTTGTTTGCTCGCTCATCAGCCGGTGCGGCCCGGTGCTTACTTCACTCGCCGGTGTGACGGCGCAAGTATAGATTGGCTTGCGATATCACTTTTCACAATGGCTCAGTCCGGAGGGACCAATGATTTTGCGCTGAATATTTATTCTAATCTCAGCATACCGAGAGAGCTTACCTATGCGCCACATGTTAACTTCATAAAGCACACACGTGCGGTGGGCGCAAGGGAATTAGAACCATTGCTTCAGAGTAAGCAATTTTCCATTCACATTAGGCCTGTCTTTTCTAAACGTCCGTGTTCTACAAGCCAGCAACGCCGCAGTACAACATCACGACACGTTAGGCAACGAGCATTGCAAAAATCTCAAAAGACCGTCTTCTGCACACAAAACCGAGCGCCATCCGTGCACGACCGGCCCGTGGCGCCACGTCATTTCCATACGACGGCCGGGACGGCGCTACGCCGCGGACGGGTCACGACGAGCCGTGTGGGGCCGAGGCTGACCGTGCAGAGCGTGGGCCACGAGGCCTCCCCACCGTGCCTTCCACCGGACGAGCCGGGCCTGAGCCGAATCACAATGCTGCGTTGCTGCGGCCGGACGTCCCGAAGCAAGGCCCGAAGGCCCGCCCGGGTGGCGGACCCGTGCAGGTGCGCGTGATAGTCGAAGCGTAGTGCAGGAGGGATCAGTGCCGCGATCAGGGACGACATGGCCGCCGGCCGCGGGAGCGTCAGGTCCTGCACGCGTCTGACAAGGTCACGGTGCTCCGTAGCGCCATGAGTCGGATCAGTCACGAGACCCCAGGCTGTTGCGCTCTGGACTTGACTTATCCGGCTCAGGCAATGCACGCCATTGTGAAAAGTCTGGAGCGTGAAATACCGGGCGGGGTTCAGCCGGCTAATTGCGAATGTTGGCGGAGATGTGTCGGCAGCAACAGGCAGCCGGTGTTGTAATTGAGCCGCAGAGCGCAACAGTCGGTGTTAGCATAGCTTCCAGAATGAAACGGGTTTTTACGAAATGGTTTGAAGTCGATGAGAAGGTCTTAAAAGGCCGATTTCAAGAAAAGCGTTGCCAACCTCAGCAGCACTGCAATGCTTGAGACCACGGACTAGTCCTATAAAAGTAAAGTGGGATAGTATCACTAAAACGTTAGCTAACTGTTATGCTGATTGTACAGCTCGTTTCGTGGAGCAAAGTGTGAAAATAGGCAGACAAGACTTAAAGACGATGCATTTCCAGAGTAAACCAGCAGCTATTTAGCACATAACTTTAACTGCGCGCAACATACTTCGAATGGAAACAGGCCTTTGTTTTTGTGTAAGCGCGGCAATTTCTGCAGGCAGGTCAGATCTTGCTCTTGTATTAGTTGAATCGGAAACATTCGAATTACCTTGTGGGAGGCACCATTGCGACGCCGACGTAAAAGGAGTGGTATCAGCACGCAGCAAAATTCGTCTTCGAGAGAAAGCAAGTGAACACAGGCACGTATGCGCAGACCCGGTCAAAACGATAAGGGGACAAAAAATAGTTGTTTTCAATTGATTCCTCAAGTCGAGCAGTATGGTACCCTAGAGGACTGATATCTCTCTGATAATTGCTTTAGGTTAACGATGCAATAAAATGCGTGTAATTGCTTACGACTGGCACGTCTAGTTGCGTAAGGACCTTGGCCACCCATTGCGTACTGTGCACGAAATTGGCGCGCGGGCTACATAAAGACTCTTCTTGAATCCTCACGGTCAAGGCCGGGGGATCTCACCTCCAACCGGGTCAGCTAATTAACATAACGCCCTCGCGTGGCGTTAGTGCGGTGAGCTGCACGTTGCCTATGAGTGATTGCAGGTCAAGGCAAGCAGGCAACTTGATCACTCACATCTGGTAAACGGTTCTTCCTCAACACACCTGCGCGGGCATGCCGTGGGGCAGTAATTTACCATCATTGCGTCTAGGTCTTCTTCCTTTATGCAGGTTTCGTGACCGTGGGCAGGTACGTGGAAGCAGCACATGTGGCATCCTAACCCCGAGCCGACCTTTTCCTTTTTCCCGGGCTGTACTTTGCCGGATTAGTACCTGCCTTTTCCGTCACTTAACTACGCATCGGCTTTCCGCTTAAAAACGTAGTCGTTACTTTCTCCCCTTGACAATAGCTACCGTTTTCGTTCGAAGGCAAACGCGTTTTCTTCGTTCACCATCACCAATGTACGGCAGCGATGGCTCGGCGCGGTCCCGTTTCTGCAGCCTGTTTCTGCAGGTGGCGGTTACTGGAGGGTTTGACGTGGCGCTGATCCGGCAATGCGCCTCCCTGCCCACACTCCGATGCCTTTTGTGAAATCATCGTCAAACAGTCTGATTTCCAGTGGCACCTTTGTTGTGACACGCCGCTCATGGATACCAGCAGTCATCAGCAGACCTGCGGCAGCTGATCTCTGACCTCGGGGCAAACCTTCCGCATGCAGACCGGTCGGCCGGGGATGAGCAGCCACGATTGCGGCGCCGGGTGTCTGGTGTGAGCCAGCGGCCGTCTCGCGCCTAACGGGATCAGTCACCGCATGTACGACCAGTCTTACACATACCACGGCCTGGCATGGCAGATGTGGCCCACACCCTACCTGGGTAGCCTGCTCCAGCCCGTGACGCGTGCGGCGGCGGTACCTCACCTCTGACGGGCCGTTGTGGCACATGCGGTCGATGCTGCCGGTGAAGCGGACCACCGTCCAGAAGAAGCACTGCCGCTGCCAGTCGTAGTCGACGCCGACGGCGTTGGTGAGCCCGGTGGCCACCGGCTCCTCGTTCGAGCCGTCCAGGTCCATCAGATGTAGCGCGTCCCGCGACGAGAACAGCAGCCTCGGTCGGTCGTCGTCCATCAGACACGTACGACCTGCGCACACGCCGCCGGCCGTCACGCGCACGGAGTGCAGGTCACGGTCACGAGCGTGAGGTCGTGGAGCTCTGGTCACGGCCCAGGACTTCAGCTACGATCATGGACCTGAGATCAGGACCACAAATCTCACGGCCCTGAGGTCAGGACCACGAATCTCACGCCCTGAGGTCAGGACCACGGAGCTCACGGACCTGAGGTCAAGACCACGGATCTCCAGGACCTGAGGTCAGGACCACAAATCTCCCGGACCTGAGATCAGTACCAAAAATCCCACGGCCCTGAGGTCGGGACCATGGATCTCACGGACCTTGAGGTCAGGACCACGGATCTCCCGGACCTGAGGTCAGAACCACAAATACTCACGGCCCTGAGGTCAGGACCACGGATCTCACGCCCTGAGGTCAGGACCACGGATCTCACGTCCTGAGGTCAGGACCGCGGGTCTCACGGACCTGAGGTCAGGACCACGGGTCTCACACCCTGAGGTCAGGACCACGAATCTCACGGATCTGAGGTCAGGAACACGGATCTCACGGACCTTAGGTCAGGATCGCGGATCTCAGGTTACGATCGCGGATCCCAAGTGAAGTTCACGGGCTTCAGATAGCTAAAGCGATCACGGCCACGGGCCTCAAGTCTCCGTCACAGGTTCTGAAGTGCGGACCGGAGTGCCAGGTCACAGTAGCCCACTTTGGGTCGTCACCGTCACGAAGCCCGGATCTCAGGCGAGGCCACGGTCGCCAGCAGATGTCGCGCCCGACTTAGATAATGTTCATGTACCTCGTGCCATAATCTCAGGTTGTGATCATGGTCAAATTAAAAGTGATGGGACTTAATTGCCATAATTACGGTGAAGATCATGGGCACTTGGATCACTTGTGGGAATGTGAGGCCACTGTTCCGAAGTTCAAAATGATTCCATTACGGTCGATACGAATCACGATATCAAAATGGATGTAACGAAAGTAGCGTGTGTGATGCTGAAGACAGCGGCGCCCAAAGTCACTGAGATCATTTCAAGCCACGGGTAGAAAGGGAAAACAGAGAGCGTTCGATTTCATAAGCAGGAGAAAATTTGAACGTGAGGCCTGGCAAGGCCAGCAAAAGCATGCCTTATAGACTCGTGGCGGCACTGGAAGCCCCATTGCATTGCTCGCACGAGCCGCGTTTCCGTACAGAGCGACGCTAAACTTTACCATTATCGGAACTATCAGAACACACCATCCTCTCGAACCGGATTTCTCCACCTCCGGCATTCCGGTAACATCACGTTCCGGCTGTGAAGACGGCCCCCGACTGGTACCCCCTGGCACCTGCCAGACGCGACCACGATGATACACCAATGACTCACAAAGGGAGGACCTGGCCGCGACCTTCAGTCACGTCTGATCTCAGTGGCCTCCGGAAATCCGTGGCGCCGAAGTGTGCTGCGGTCAGCCGACAGCCTAGGTCACCAAGCGTGCAATTTTCACATGGGCACAGCACCCACATCTACATTGTTACCATGGGTAAATAACAAATTTCTCTTGAAGATAAACGTTGTTGCCGTGATTTCCCTCCTGCCGAAAATTGCTTTTATCGCAGGAGACTGAGAGCGTTGGTCACGCTATAATCTTCCGGCTGCGGGCTTTTTACATCTTTTTTTGGTGGCAATAGTGGAAGAGTTCCACAAGCTGCTGGCTGGGAGGAGAAGCCAGCTGCGCACTGATGCACCGAACGCTGTAAATCACTGAGCAGCCATGCCGTGGCTACTTGCTTTGGGCAGCCATGCTATGTACAGCCGCGACAGTCACGTTGAATCCCGAGAGCAGTCGTTCTCATTGTTGAATAGTCGTGTCATGACATAGCGGGTGCGGCATTTTTCGATATCATTTTAGCAGTTTACGTGAGCAATATATATCGGGCCTTAAAACATAAATGCGATTGAATGCCACCGCCACTTCATGTCAACAAGCCGAACGATAAATGCCTGCTGTAGCTGAAGTTCGAAAGCCGTGTTCATTTGCTTCGATGTAAAGCTCTTCCGCTGCATGACGCATCGTTGCGCGAGTGTTATGACTTTCATGGCCGATGCTCGTAATAGCCTTTTTGTCTCGAACGCACGTGCGTGTGAGGAATTACATCGTGTTTACTTGTAATGATACCAAGAGTAATAGCCCGGGTTGAAACCTATCATTCTCAGGCTGTGCGCTAACTATGCCACGTTGCTCCGTCTCACGCTCCCCGTGCATTACTAATGCATGCCACACATGAGTTACGCCAAAGTAACGAACAGCAGCTCGGCCCGCTGCCTTCTAAAAGCAGCACGAGAAAGAAGACGCGCTCAGACGGGCAGTCACGCCGCGGACATCACCGCGGGCGTCGAGCCATCCGGCCCCGAGCGGCCGGCGCTGGCGGTCACGGCGCGTCGCGGCTAACGCGGCGGTCACGCCGCCACACCGCCGCGTGCACGGACCCGGCGGCCGCGGAGAGGGCGGCGCGGCCAGCCGCTGCGCGCCGGTCATCATTGCCCAACTCCGCCAGCTGATGTCACCGCGCCAAATCGGCGTGATTGCATGCCAGTTAGCGCGCCGGACACCGCGGCGGCGGCGTCGAGAAAGTGATGCCGCCGCGGTCAGCGGTTAGCGGCGCCTGGCGATGAACGCCGGAGCGGTCCCGGCGGAGGGACGCCGGCCGGGCCGCTCCCCTGTCATGAGTCCCGCGCACTGCGCGCTGACCTAGCTCCGCTGAATGGACGGGTGCCAAACTCATGGCGCGGGGGGGAAGGGGGAGGGGCTCGTTTCGCAAGCGTGGATGGGTCTCGGCATCCACAGCTGTGGGATACTGTTGTCGTAAGCAATATTCAAGGCTTCGATTTGTGATGTTTTGCCAATAAACCAAGATGAAGCCCGTAGTTAACCAATGACGGAGCACCCACCTGCCGTATACTCAGCTGTAAATCCAGCATGTGAAGTCATTACAGCATCGAGCGGCTCACCTATCAGCCCCAAAACTATTATATGCACTGTGATCTAGGACGCAACGAGAGAGGTGTTCGCGTCGGTTCGTCACCGGCTCCATGACCTCGCACCACACGAGCGGCGGCCGAGCGCAGAGTGCATGGGTACTCACCGTCCGAGTCGAGCCGTCTCTGGGCGGGGCAGCCGCAGCGCACCATGCCGGAGATGTCGCTGGTGCATAGGTGGCTGCAGCCGCCGTTCGCCTTCAGGCAGCTGTTGCTGTCGTCGTTGAGCGGCAGCGGCACGGCGCCGGCCACGGCTCTGGGCACCGGCCGGCTGCGCCGGACCGATGCCGACGTCACCGCCTCGCGAGGCAGCGTCTTCGTCGTTGTCCCCTTAGAGGTCTCGGTGGCGGTGGCGGCCGTGGTCGCCGGCGGCTCCCTAGTGGTCGGTTCGGGCGTCGTCGTGGCCGCTGCGGCGGTCGAAGTCGGCGGAGGATCGGTGGCCGCGGCGGCGCGAACCGCAGTCGTCGACGCGAGCTCGGTGGTCGTCTCGGCGGTCGTCGAGCCGTCGGCGGTGCCGGCAGCCGACGGCGCCTCCGTCTCGGCGCTGGCCTGGGCGGTGTTGTTCTCCATGGCGGCCACGCTGAGCAGGAGGCGCTGCAGGCAGCCGTCTCCCTGGCACGGCTCGGGGTCGGTGGCCAGCGCCTGCGCCGCCTCGCCGCAGCTGCTGCCGGCGCAGCGCGGCAGCTGCACGCTCGCGCATGCGGCGCCCTCGCAGCCCTGACCGTCGCGCGCCAGCGTCTGCAGGATCTCGGGCAGGCAGCGGCCGCCGGCGCACGCAAACGCCGCCGGCTCCGTCGTCTGCCCCGGCATGGCGGCGATGTCTAGCAGCAGCTGCGGCATGGGCTCCAGCGGTCGCGCCAGCGGCGGCCGCGTCTTGCAGTTGCCGCCGGTGCAGCCCGCCACCGCGTCCAGGTCGGGGCAGTTGGCGCCCTCGCACGGCTCGCCGCGCTCGGCGATGCGGAGCAGCAGGTCCGAGATGGGCGCGCCGGGCTTGGCCGCCAGCTGCGAGGCGCACTCGCTGCCCACGCAGTTGGCGGCGGCCGGCGGCGCGGTGGTGGCGGCGGCGGCGGACGGCCGCCGCGCCGTCGCCGAGGAGGGCAGCACGGTCAGGCGGCGCCCGGAGGACTCGAAGGAGCGGGCCAGGTCTGACACGTCCAGCGCGCCGCCGGAGCGACCGCCGTCCACGCTGCGGGCGCTGATGGCGTCTGGGGCGAGCACGAGGCGCGTTAGATGAGCGAGCTCGTGACGTGTACGAGGCCCGTTGTGAAACTATGACGCGTCATAAGGTACATCACTTGAAGATAATTTAGTAGTAATAGCCTTATTCCTCGGAAAAAAACCAGGAGAAGGGGAAAATAGGTGCGTCGATAATTCAGCAACATACCTTTATCAAAACGGTAGCAAAAGAAGCAGAATACAATAGCAGAATACAGGTATGTTGCCAAAATATCAACGCACCTTTATTTCATTCCATTTCATACATATATTCTCCTCCCGAGGAATAAGGCTGTTACTAGTGTCTTGACTATGTGAATATTGCTCCTCATAAATGCACTCAACAGCTTGCATCTCTTGAAATTTTCATAGAACTTAGAATAGTGTTAAGCATCACGTTTTCATAATATTCCACGAATTTGTCTTTCAAATTATTTTAAAGAACTGTAGCGTTGCCAAAATCTCCTTCAAACCTATGTCTACAAAAACCAAGCTTTTAGCATCCCACTATCAAGCAAATGGTTTAGTTTGCGTAGATTTCCCCATGATATGCGATCTCTATTTATCAAGCATCAGTCTAGCACATGCAGTGATGGAAAGTTGGGATACGGAATGCTTCGCACGCGCCAGAACCGTCGTTGCATATTTTCAAAACGTTTTTCCAAACCGAATTTTCCTGTTCGCTTGACAGAATGGGGAAGACCTGCTTGCGAAGCACATTATGCTGAAGCCGAGGCATGTACCTATCCTCCCGACGCGGCGGCACGAACCACGCTAAATTGACGCAAAATCGCACAAATGCGTAATACCGAACTGGTCACTGCGACACGGCGACCGGTCGCAAGACAAGCCAGAATGCCCGGCCGCACGGGCCAAGCTTGGCTAATGGACAGCCTACAATGCAGAATACGTCTGTTTGTTGCTCAGTTATGCCCATGATTAAGCCCATATTGCCATCGAAAACGGGTAGTGTCCAGTTTTTCCACATGGCGTGGGTCACAATACTTATACCTTGTGCAAACGTTGTTACAATCGGCTGTGTTGAAGAAACGACCGTGTAACAGCGTTTCACAATTTGAAGAAAAATAGCTGTCGCTGTTCTGATCCGGACAAGGCTGCCAGGACTGGTAATCAGGCCGATTGCGTGTCGCGGTACGACCACCACCGTACAAGAACCAGGATGTTTGGTAGAAGAAATGACGCCACAAAAACACGCAAAACAAGCGGGCGTTATGATGTTGACCAAAAGATGTTGTGCCTGTGCGAAAATGCGTCAAACATAGTTGCAAAAACTGCGTCCACCACATGAGTGATGTCATGCACAAGTGACACACGGCAAGCTGCAGACGTCTGCGATAAAAGATGGATGACGTACATTCTCAATGCGACCTGTGATCACATACGGACGAAGGGACACGAGGCCCGTCGAGCTCCGCCGATCCGACAATACCAATGAGACGGCGGTGGCGCCTGGTGGACAGCCCGATCTGGGACAGGAAGAGCTCGGCTGGACTGGACAGTCGCCACGCGCTAAGCCAAGGTGAGGTCAGCGGACCTTGGCCAGGACCGGGTCAGCAGGCCGGGCGGGGCCGGCCGCCAAGGTCGCAGGACGCGACGACGCGGACCCGTCGCGCGCCCGATGCCGCCGAGGTTTGAGGACCGCGCCGACCGGGGCACCCACCGCAGCTGACCCGGCGGCAGCAGTTGGGCCAGGGCGCCTCCGGGTCCGGATCGATGACGTCACAGTTGGGGCCCAGCGCATCCTCGATGATGTAGCGGCACCTGCGGGGACCGGTGCGTCATCAACGCCGCGTCCGGTGACGTCATACCACGCCGCAATCGACCTGTGATTGGGGGCGGCAGTTCAGCACTCCCCACTCTGATTGGGGGCGAGAGGCCGGTTGTTACACGACGCCGTTCCCACCGGTCAGGCGACCGGCAGTTGGAGAGGGTGAGCCGCCGGCTCGCGAGGCAGCTCGCGTGCCATATACGGAGCCAGCGGGGTCGCGGCCGGTCGGCGCCACTCGCCGCGAGCCGGCCGGACACGCGCCGGCCCCTCAGGACGGCGCAGAAAGCTGGAGTAGTGCTCGACCGTGAGTGGCGGCCTGCGTCTCAGGCTCTTTCAGCGGTGTCTGCTGCCTTGAGGGGGAGAGTTTAACGCGGCACCTCGCCCCGGCCGTGCGCTGCGGCCGAAGGCGCGCCGGTGTCCTCCAGTGACGAAGATGGCCGTGCCAGCCGCCGGCAGCCCCACCTGACTCATCTCCCAGCCGCGTCACCGTCCCGGAGACGGGTACCACAAGCCGACAGCCGGTTCTGGCGGCGCGGCGCCGGCCGGCACCGGTCAACTGGCCTGACCGCCATCCCCGCGCGGTCGCCAGCCGTGAGGCGCGAGTCGCACGAGGCGGGGATTGTGTGTCTAAATCGGTGGTCGCGAGTCATGAGTGACTGGTTGCAGCAGGAGTCGCGGCAATGAGTGGTGGATCGCGAGTCACCAGTCCCCAGTTGCAGGTCATAAGCCACATGCTAGGTGTGAGACACAAGAGTGGATGGTCACGAGTCACAGCAAACAAGTCACGAGACGCGAGCCATCGGTCAAAAGCATATTTGCCACATCTTATGGGGGTAGCTTTACCTCCTCCTAATATGCTAGAAAAGTATTGTGTAATTTTAGTTGAACTGACACCTTGATACTTGTCCGCACCAAGCGGACCAAAGCCTCTCCCAAGAATCGACATTGTATCCTCCCCTCATCTCACAATGCCAGGGTCACGAGTCAGGGGTCGTAAGTCCGGGTCACGACTTTCAGTCGGGAGTAGCTGGTCAGAAGCTCCACGTCGCGCCAGCGAGTCACCGGCCGCCGGTCACGAGTCGTGAGTTACGAGAAGTCTCCGCTGCCGGCGGTCAGCCAGCGCCGTGATGCGGCCGGCCGCGGGTGAAAGGCCGAGGCGTGCGGGCCGGCCTGCGCCGCGGTGCTCCCCGCTCTCGGTGGCGCGGTGTCGACGGCGGCGCGGCGGCGCGCGGCGGTGGCGCGCGCGTCCTTTCTCCCGCCGCGCCGTAATGACGCGCGTCGGCACCCCTGCAGGGACGGGTCCGGCCTCCCCGGCCGCGGAGGAGGCCGCCGTGGGGGCGGCAGCGATGGAGCGGGGCGACGCCGATCTATAGACGCCGGCGGCGGCGGCGAGGTGGAACGGTCGCTGCTGAATGCATGTGGGCTCCTAACGGCTGAGCGTGTTGGGCGTTGTGCGCTTGCGTTGGTGACGGTAGTGCGATATGTGATATTTTGGCTTGTGTCATATATAAGGTGCATCATAAGGTGCATATATACGCGACGTCTGTTAGCACACCTGCCGCTAACAGACGTCGCGAAGTGCCGAGGTATTGACTGACTGAAAAAGACTAACATCAAGGAACAAAGACGAACAATTAAGCTGAGACGACCCTGGTGCCCTTGGTCGCACCATTAATGGTGGTGAGAAAACAAGCGCTTCAGTAAAAACGGCCGCTTTAACCACGAACTGCAAATACCATCCTTCGGCTTTTAGACCGTTTGATCGGGGGAAATTCACACCGCATTTTATGCAGCAGTGACGTCAAAGAGCATTCAACTAGTGTTGAACGTATCATATCATGCGATAAAAAAGCACCGGCAGATCACCACGAATCGCAAATGATCGTGGTGTACGGTTACTGAAGTTTGGTAGCCGAACCAGCATAGGTAACATACACTGAATTTTGACGTAGGAATGCATCTGTTTAAACTGACACTCCATCAATGGCCACGCAAACACTTGACCTAAATGATCGAAACACCGTCGGCTAGTTTTCGCCATGGACACGGCGCCGAGTGGCGTGGCGACAGGGCCGGCGACTCACCCGAGCACCAGGACGCCCGGCCTGCCGTTCGTCCAGCCGTCCACGCACTCCGCCTTCGTGCAGCCGCTCTCTCGCCACGTGTCGCCGACGTCGAAGTACCGCCCCAGCGTCTTCGAGTAGCAGTCGCCGCCATCTGAAGTGGAGACGCCAGGCTCAGACGGGGGTTCACAGCGGCGCGAGGTCGTGCGACTCCTCGGCATGGCGAGCGCGCGGGAGGCTATGAGTGGCAGTTACTTCACACTTGAGATTAGTTAGTTATTGGTGTTTCAGGGCGCACCGACGGCTAGAGTCATCGAGCACCCATTCAAACTTGAGATATGTTTGAGTGGTGGATGTTGTTATATCCAAGTTTTTTTTCAAAGGCTGCAGTGGAAAAGTAGAGGAAAGTAAAAGCAGGCTTCAGCAGAAGTAGCTTTCTTACGCGGGCGGCGCAGTCGTGTGTTCTTCCAATCGCGTGGTGTAGGGTTGCATGATAGACATCCGTGGGAAATAGTTAGCGTGAGGGTTGCTGCGAGCCTGCGATGTTTTCACGCGATCATTCCCTCTCGTGATCCGGCTGAATAACACTGAAAAAGTTTGGTTGACGAAGGATTTAAGAGAACACCCTGCAAAGGATTGTGTCAATTCTGAGTGAAGCATGCATCGCTACGCCTGTTAAACCTCAACCTTCTACCACGCTTACGATAGTTTAGTTTTAATCATTGGATATTTATGCAGTGAATGACTCGTGACTCGTGACTCGATGTTACACCGCTTCCATTGCGCGGTCCATTTGATCCCATCTATTCTCGGAATCCCGCGCCGCACCAGCTGACTTCATCCCGTCACTGTTTACTTTCGGGTCCCGTGCCTGTTGTGGTGGCGCTTCATTACGGCTGTTTTACTCTCATGCATTACGTCTGTTTACTTTGTGCGGGCGCTACGTTCATCTCACCAGCTTAAGCACTTTTTGCAACCAATGGATCCCGGTGCAAGTGACGAACACCACACAGACCCACAGGATCAAAACTTCAAAAGAGCCGTTGGCCCATTCTTTATCTACTTCGGCAATGCACGGAGCCTGCTAAATATTGCGAGGAGATGGAACGTCTGCTTTACAAAAGATCGGGAAGAGAGCTGTTCTCATAGTCGCATCTAAACGAGTGTTTTTGGACACTCGTGCTAGCGAGCGAGCGGGGACTGAGTGGGCACGGCACGCGTATGTCCTCCAATGACCCGACGACAGCTGATGACTGATCGCACCGCGGGACGTGCGCTGCGAGGCTCAGTCTGCTTACTGGCACGCGTCTCTGCGGCCACAGCCTGCCCGACGGGCCTCGAGATCTGCTTTCGGTGAGCCTGCGCGAGTACACAGCTGCCGGCGCCGTGAGCAAAGGCACATCTATGCTTCTGAGCAGCCCGGCGTCGGCACTCTGCCGCCTAGCAACTTCCTGTTGACTATTTTCCCAGCGCCGCGTGGAGTCTTGTCTCAGAGAGAAAACACGTCGACTCTGGGCGGTCTCTTGCGCCGCGGTTCGACTGTTGTGCGTTGAGGCCGACTGGAAAGCAGCTTACGCATATTTATCAGCCTGGTAACTGTGAAAACGCGTTGGGAAAGCTAGCAATGTCTGCAGTCCCTGACGCGTTGCGCGTGAACTGAGACGCTGCTGAGGTGATAGCGAAGCTAAAGCTGAACGGCCTGGTGCCGACCTCATCCTTGAAGTAACGCGTGTCCTAATGGTGGAGAACACAAATACGTCATTGACGGCGCCACTGTCCCCAGGCAGTCCGCTAATGACAGAGGAGCGCGCGAAACGCTCCGAAGCTCGCTTCCACACTACGTCCTCAGTCAGCGCCAGCGGGGGCCGCCGCCGATTGCCCCACGGAGCACCGGACGTGGCGACCCGGCGTCGATTTGTAACGCCGTTGTGTTGGAGCTCGGCGCTGGAGCGGCTCCTCCGGTGACGGCCGCCGTCGGCGCGTCAGTCAGGCCACGCGCTGCATCGCCGCGGCGAGAGACCGTCGTTGGCTCACGGGACTTGACCAGCGCTCCGGACAGGGCCGGAGCACGCTACGTGGCCGTAGGCACGACCGGAACACGCTACGTGGCCGTAGGCACGACCGGAACACGCTACGTGGTCGGAGGCAGGGCCGGAACACGGTACGTGACCGCAGGCAGGCCGGAACACTCTGCGTGGCCCGAGATAGGATCGGAGCACGCTACGTGGCCGTAGGCACGACCGGAACACGCTACGTGGTCGGAGGCAGGGCCGGAACACGGTACGTGACCGCAGGTAGGCCGGAACACTGCGTGGCCCGAGATAGGATCGGAGCACGCTACGTGGCCCGAGGCAGGACCGGACCACGCTACGTGGCCGTCGGCAAGACCGGAACACGCTACTTGGCAGGAGGCAGGACCCACGCCACCGATCCAGAACGGGGAACGCCGCGGACGAGATCGCGACCCCCGGACTGGACCATGGGACGGTCGGGGGACACAGCAGCAAACGGACCGGGACCGCCGCCCGAACCGCCGGGAGAGTGTTGTCCGGATCTCACCGGACACGACCGGGCGGTAACGGACGGGTGCCGCTGCTGGTCAGAACACCAGCTAGCTAGCTACGGCCCACCAAGACGGGGTGGTATCAGCTGGCGGCGGAAGAACGCCGGCCGGCTCGGGTTCAGCCGCTTCGGCGCTGTTCCACTCCTCTCAGACTGCGATGACGTCGCAGCGCTGGTCCCGTTCTGGGAAGAGACACGGTGCCGGGGTGCTGGGACCATTCTGAGAAGGACGCGGTGCTGGAGTGGCGGGGCCAGGCTTCGGTGGATGGGTGTGCTGGCTTCTTCGTGGTACACATGACCCTAAAGCACGGCTGATGCATGGTGCCGCTTCCAAACAGCTTGGACGTCATGATCCGTCCTGGCGCGTGTGGCGCGTCACAGCTCATGGCGCGTCACAGCTCTGAGACAAGCGATGCTGCCGCGCTCTGAGACAAGCGATGCTGCCGGGCTCGCTGCTCATGTCATGCTTCCGCGAGGTTCTTTCGGATTATAGTTTGATAGAGCAACCTGCCTTTGTATACATTATGCATCATCTCACCGTTGGACTGGCGCTTCATCTGTTGCTCCCGAATTGGTGCAAACTACTTTGTTTGCTTACGATGACAAACGTCATGGCACCGTCTCTGGGGTGTAACCGTGAGTGCCCAAGTGCAAGTCGAGGAGGGCACCTAGAGTTGGATCAAGAAATAGCCATGAGAAATAGCCACTACCTGAAGGCTAATTTTCACGAATAAAAGGATACCGCAAAAGACGATCTTGCCCGACTTTGCACACATCCGCTACCAATCAGCTAAACACACACAATCTCCCACGTTAACTTAGAGTGCTCTGTGTATTGCAACAATCTAATGGGGAACCTGAACTGGGTCAGATGTCGATCACCCCCCTCCCCAAAAAATTCCCGCACAGTTTCAGCCTTTCGGTATGTTCGAGCGTAATGATTGTAACAGCGAGTTTTTGGTATGATAGGCACGCCCTAATGAGGAACCACCAGAGTGCTGAAATCGTGTTTCGGGTTTCTTCCATCGTCTTCCATTTTCTTCCATACACACCTGACTGACGCGTGTCGAAAACGAAAACAGTGCAAGAATGCTGCGTACGCATCGATATCCGGCATGCGTAGCCCTTTTTAGCGCAATTGCCAGAGGCTTAGCTCTGTTGAAACTCAATTGCTACTGGACTTGGACCAGACTCAGTTGCTTCTCGACACCTTGGCATCAACGATTTGGTTACTCCTAGCCCACTGCCAAAGGGCCAGGCCTCCAGAAGTCTGAATCGCATTCATCTCTTGAGCCGCTCGGCTACCCGAAACAACTTGAATACCCGTACTGTGAGATGACCGATGAATATGCCCTAACAGAAGACTGCACAGTAATCACGGCAATTTGGCAATACCTTCAGGGAGCGGGTCGTTCCACCCCTGGCTCCTGCACAGCTGGTAAATATGGGCGTACTTGTTACACGTCTCTTGCGATAATGATTCTGACCGCCTGTTCTGCTTCCGCACCCACCGCGCTTAGCTCATTGCACACGCGTCAAACAGGTTCTGGAGGTGGGGGCGGCCAACCCCGCCCCATGCGGGCTCCGCTTATTCGATGTGCCTCAGCAGCGGCAGCTTTTTATCCGAAGACCGGGGGTGGTAGTGCAACACCCCGCGCTCTTGTGACATGACAACAGTTGACGTCCGGTCAGGGGCTACAGCGCCGACGCATTGTGGCTAGTCTCCGTCCTCACCTTGCAGCGAGCCGGGCCCACGAATCGGAGATGACTGCTGCGCGAAAGCCCGCGTTTTTTTGTGGACGAACGCCATCATCCACACAGCAGCCCTCGTCTGGTACACAACATTCTCAGCAGTCCGAGCGCAGGATAAGCGGAGAAGCGCCGGCACGGCGAGCAGGGCGATTCGTGCCAGTGAAATCCAGCTGGCGTGATGCACGAGACTTGTCCGAGACCCCGCGCCTTCAGCCGTGAAACGGTCGCACCATAACGACTCATGGCAGGATGGTGTGGTGATCAGCTGACACCTGAGCTCCCAGCTCTAGCGCAGCCTGTCCCGCAGACTGCCCACGGGCACAGCCAGGGTAGCAGATGCAAACTTAGAACAGATTGGCTGAAAATGCGTTCATAACGCCTTTTGTCGAAGGCCAGCGCTGTTTTCGTCGTTCTCTGAAAATCACGCGGTATGCATGCGACTGAAAGCCTTCGTTGCCTCGCACACCGTCTCTTCGGGCCTCTCAAACGCGCGAGTCCTTGGGGATTCTCCGCGCGTTTAATTGCTGCCATCCATCGCAACGTGACGTGACGTGACGGCCTAAGCCACCAGGTAAACAAAATAGTCGCCAGCGCGTACGTGAGCCGGCTCTGGAGCGGCCCACATCGCCATCCCGTCCCCGAATGAACGCCGGAGACGACGAGCTCCCTTCCGAACACTCGCGCGGCGCGCGGATACGGTGCACTCAGAGCGTACATTGCCCGAAGACGTTCGTGTCAGGTGTGACTGGCAACGCAAAATTATTGACATTTATTGGATCCAACCCTAACGCGTAGTTAATGCTGGGGTTGAAACGTATCGATGCTGTCCTGCCAAGACAA